CCTGCCCATGAAAGTTTCTTTGGATACATTGTAAAATTATTTTTTTTTTTTAAATATGAAATTCAGTAAATACCTTAAACACAAGGTTACTACAACTTTTATTACATGAGTAGAGAGTAAATATGAAATGTCTATAATTTCTAGTTATATAAAATACTAAAAAAACGGCAGAAATCAACGAAATGAAACACTTAATAATACAGAGATATGTTAACTGATGGCTGTCTGGCCAGACTGATCACAAACTGAAAGTTCTACCTCCAATAATCTGCTTAGAAGGAAAATCGTTTTTTCAAGTAGACCAATTCAAACTTCTGATCTCCAAAATAATACAATGAATGACCAAATGACCAGTGAATAACAAGCTCAAACAAGCTATCTTCCCTCTTTCAAAGGTATCAACATTCTGAAAAATTCCAGTAAATCTCAAATTAAGGATTTGCAATGTTATGATAAAGTCAGTTCTGATATACGTCTGTGAGATTTGGACACTGACCAGTCCCACAAAAAGAAGTATTGAAAGATTTGAGAAAAAAATCCTCTGCACTATAATTGGAGCGATCTGGGATCAGAGTGCAAATGCATGGAGGAGAAGGACCAATAAAAAACTGTTTACTGAAACTGGTATCAATCAATATATCACAATGTGAAGATAAAGAGGTTAATATGTTGAAGAGGGGCAAGTAGCTTGGAGCAATCCATCAGGAGGCCTCTACACATTAATGAATGCCTCAATAGTTGGCCAGAGACCATGTGGAAGACTCTAGACAACAATAAATGTCTCAATAGTTGGCCAGAGACCATTTGGATAGAAAAAAAAAACAGATGGATAGATCAAATAAAAAATGATGCAATAGAGCTGCATACAGATAACTAGAAAGAAATAGTCCAAGATAGGCAGAGATGGAGAAGGCTGGTTATGGTGACAAAAGGTTTACAAGGTCTCAAATGACAAAAAAAAAACACTCAAACCCTTAGACCAGAGGGGAGGGATTGAAACGCCCCACGGGCCAGATCCTGCCCATGAAAGTTTCATTGGATACATTGTAAAAATTTTTTTTTTTTTTAAATATGAAATTCAGTAAATACCTCAAACACAAGGTTACTACAACTTTTATTACACGATCTGTTTCTCTTAGAAAGCTCTTTCATGACTGGAGTATCATTTATAGAAATTTTATTTTTATCACAAGCCCATGGGAATTAGTGGAGATATCAATCTGACCAGATGACTTAAGGAAAGTCTCAATGTGGCCTGGTGGCCAAAAAGTTTGGAAATCACTGCCTTAGGCTATACTAATAATAATACTTTATTTACTACATGAATTTGTAAATAAAATGAGAAGGAGTTGATCGGGGGGGGGGGGGGGGTGCGGTCTAGTTAATACTAAATTAAATAAGTAGAATTATTTAATTTTTGCCGACGTTTCGACCAGTGTTTCAACTGCTTCCCGCATTGCTACATCCTACGCCCTGATGAAGACCTACAAAGTGGGTCAAAGCGTCAGCAAAAATTAAATAATTCTACTTATTTAATTTAGTATTAATTTGACCGCACCCCCTGATCAACTCCTTCTCATATTATATCAACGGTCAACCATCTCTACATCATTGTAAATAAAATGTTCTTGTCTTGCAGTCAGTTTTGTCTAAGCTTTCAATTAAGCAACATAACACTATAATTTGAAATATTGGTGATGCTATGCTGTTTAATTTATAAAGCCAACCCCGTCCACGGCTGTCAGGGATATTGACCTAATAATTATGCTATGGGGCTGATTCTTATTTGACTGATATGTACTGCTAAAGGATTTGATTATAAGTAAATTATGGGGTTAAGCAGACTGTATAATTAAATGATTAATGACTATAAGTAAAATATGATTTCTATATTTTGAGTTATATTACAATGTGGGTTATTGAGGCCCAAAGCTATTACAATATTAGTTAGTATGTTAATACATTTGGTTTGCATATTATAATTGTTGAAGTTGAGGTGGATTAGGTGGGTGGTAGCTCAAAACTAATTGCTAGGTACTTGCTTCATTCTAGCACTCCTCTTCTCTCTTCCTCGTCATCAGGCCTCTTGCTAGGCCGCTAGAGTATCTGCTCCATTTTTCTCCTTACTAAGAAGGTACCAATTTTAAATGATTGCAGGCCAGCTATTTCTCCTAGAAACATGAATCTCGTATACATGAATCTTCCAGGAACCCTGAATGCCTAGAGTCTCTATTTATGCCTCTATCGCCTGCCAAGAGATGGCAGCAGTGTTGTGTGCTTTCTCATTTAATTTAAATTACATGAAATAGGAACTTTGCTGTGTTCTGTAAACAATGCCATTACAGAAAACATAACTTTTCCAACACTAAAACAGTCTGGTGCAGGAAATCAAAGAATATAATATTCATTCTGAACGGACTATTAGTATCACGGAATGATATCCTCAATAGTAAATAGAGATTTGAAGGAAAATAATTATTCAATAAATAAAGTGAAATCTTGCAGGGCTGTTGAGACGGACACAGCAAAAAGCACTCAGTATTTGATATTACTTGTTAAATTATCAATTTACCACTGAATAAGCATGAAGTTGATTGAAATTTGTTAATAAAGTTTGAAAAATAAATACTGATATTGGATTATTAAAATAGATAAATCTTGGAGAAGCATTAATAGCAAGAAACGATGCTTAAACTGGAATCTTCCTGCTACGCCTGCCACTTATACACCAGTATTAGTATACAGAAATCAGGTTTTATAATAATAAAAGTTATGCCTGACCTCACAATTCTTCACTATATACAACAAAAATTTCAGAACATTAAGAAATTAATCTTATCCATCACCTGCTTACAGTCTGGACTTAGCACTTAATTATAATTTGTTCAGGTCATGGTTCATTACCTATAATAAAAAATCGTCAATGTCCTGGATGAGATTTAAAACTAAATCTTAAAGTTTTAAAACGTCAACAAATCAAAGAACACAAGAGTATACTTTGATTTTTTTTTTCTAAATGTGTTGCATACAATTATTTTTAAATTAACAAGAAAACATTATTTCATCCTGTTCTCAAAGAACTGGATTAATAAGAGATGATTAATCGGAAGAAGTTTAAAATTGTTAAGGGTATTTGAATGAAAAAGAAAGTTCTGCATATATTAATCAAATTGTATAGGTCTGAAGAAAGGTATAACGAGGAGATGGAACAATCATTAACAGATCTGAAGGTAAGGAACAAAAAGAGTAAAGACACAGTTGATTATATTTCACTAATTATTATTAAATTTACATTTTGAATAATTATTGAATTACATTTCCATTGGCTGGGACCAATGTACAGCATCCATTTTCCATTCCATTTCTTTTGTTTTATTTGCTGTGTGCATGGCGTCATTGTCCGGTCAGAAGATAATTGCATCTTTGATCCTCATATTTTTGGCTGAACTGGTTAAATTATTTCCCAAAATGTTGACATATTGGTTGGCATTCATAATATTTTCAATAAAGGTTAAGTTTCCAACATCATTCCATGACATGCCCCCTCAAACTCGAACATTTCCACCTCAATGTCTTACATTGGGCCTCAAATGTTAAGCTTAAAACTCAGGATCAAGTTTCCATCAAACGTATTTGTCATCATCAGAATGAATATTAAACTTACTTTTGTCTGAAGAAATAACATTTTTCCACAATTCGAAGTCTTTATTAATTTGAATTTTGGCCAACTCAGGTTTTTTTTTTTTTTTTTTTTTTGCAGTTTATGTTTTCAATAAAAGTTTTTTTTGGAACTTGACATAATAATTGTATATATGAATTATTTTTCTAACAGAACGTGGTATTTGAAGGAGATGCGACCTCTTCTTCTATTTCACAGCTGATAAAGAGTGATTTTGCTCAACGTTTTGATGGATATATTTTTGTACCCTCCCATTTAATTTTGGTGGCCATTCTGAAAGGGATTTATTTAAAACCCTCTAAACTTTTGTGCAATATTCTGAACACTACTAAAAGCAATTTCTAATTTAGTCGGTCTTTGTCAGTAGTTAATTTCTAAGTCCATTAGAATGTAATCTAATGATGTTTTTTTTAAACTGACAATATTGACTGGTTTACCCATCTTGTAATGGTAAGTACACAGCTAAGACTGATTTTTATTGTTGTCATCATATCTTTGTTTCTAATCTCTTGAAAGAAAAAGTAGTAATGTGATTTGACTGGAGCTAATAGCAAACATTTAAAACTGTGCCAATACTTTTTTGACCCTCAAAATTTACTCTTTATTTTTATTTTAAACATAGCTTTTGAATTGTGAACATGCATTGATTATAAATTATAATACTCAATGACCACTTTGTCATATTATTATAACCAATATTATTTCTATAAATATTTTAATCATATTGAGATTTGCATAAAAATTGGAGTGTGCCAATACTTTTTTACCCACTGTAAGTTATCTGTGAAAAAAGTAAAATAAATTCTTCTTCTTTGAAATGTATTTATTCTTTGTAAAGTTCACTTTATTATATAGCTATAATTCGTAATTAATTTTTATGAAGTTGACTAAAAATATTTAGAATTGGATATATATGGGTTATAAATTTCAAATGGTATCAAATTATGCAATCAATTATGCATATTTAAAATAAAATTAATTATAAACATTAGTTTAATTAGATTGATGTTGAGAGCTTTGTATTTGCTTACATTTCCTTCTGACATTTATAGAAATTGTAATTCTGTTTCTGAGTCTTTATATTTAAAAGAAATAAAAACAAAATTTAAAAAAAAATATAACTAAAATATTTTGTTTGAAGTGGAAACTTTATTTGGACATAACACAAAAAAAATTTGAAAAGAATTTCATAACGCTGACTTAAATTATGTTTTGATTTTTCATAAATTATAATTAATACCGATTTATAGTGAAATTTCAATTCATAAAAAAAAAAATAAAAATGTAACAGAGAAATTTTGTGTTGTTTGGTTGGTAAAGCCCTTGATCGTTGGAATGGAGGGGGGTCCCTCACTGACACTGCCCAATGTGGTTCCAATGGTGGTAGGTTTGGGATTGTGAGTTTAGTTTTATTTTTTTGTGATCATTTTCGGTCCAATTAGTTACGAGGACGTAATTATATAGAAATTTTGTAAATCTATGACCTATTATTTATTATAGTTTTTCGTTTGGAACTCGCATTTTAATCTGATACTAAAAAATTAACTTTAATTTCTAATTTGATAACATAAACATTCTTGAGATGGAACAAGGTAAGCTATAAAGTTATTTTACATTGTTTTTTATGCATGGGTTACATTTTTTGTTGGATTATAATTTATTTACGAGGAAACATTGACATGTTTAGCTCTTTAAAATACCCTTGTATTAATCTATTTTAAAATCCAAACATACTGTAAACCTTATTATTTAGTAGTAACCTTTTGTTTAATCAGGGAAACCACTTTAAAGTGTAAGGTTCTGGAGTTTTTAATGGACCAAGTTGTTTTGGTTTTTAACCTAAAACCCTTTTTTTACATTATCACTAAGAACTATGGTATTCCCTATCTAGAGGTACCCAGAGTATCTAGGATGGAATGTTTTGTTTGTATTATATCTGTGCCCCAGAGGTAAAGGACACCATTTCTATTTGTTTTTATGAAATAATTTAATAACTAGGAAACAAATTTTAATAGCTCAAAGTTATCCCCTGAACAAAAAAAAAAAAAAAAAATGTGACATGGTGTTTACTTTATCTCTGGAATATAGATTTAGTAACTAAGAAACAAATTTTAATAGTTCAAAGTTATGAAAAATTAGCTCCCTTGAACAAATACAAAATGGACATGGTGTTCTTTACCTCGGAGTACAGATATATTTTTATGAAAAACAGCACTTAAGTGTAGTAAGCTAACTATTGTTACTTCAACTGTTTTTGTCTGTTGATAATCCGAATATGTGCTTTAATTTATATAGTTAATATTTTTTTAAAAATATTATGTCTGTGGTGTTGTTCTAAGTATAAGTAATATTTTTATTCATAATGTTCTGAATGAGAAGTTATAAATATAATCAATTTGATTATCTTCAATATATTACATTTTTTTTATTAATATAAATTTATGTTCTATTAATCTTTTAAATTTTAAAATAGTGTTATAAAGTGATTGCTTTTATAATGCATTGAATATTTCCTGCAGGAAGCTGTTCAGATGTCATTGTTTTCTTATAAATTATATAATTATAAAAATCTTGTAAAATATATTTTTTTTGTTTTCTCGAAATATATATACTTCAAAAATTCACCAACATGAAAATATATACAATGTGGGATATTTTTTATGTGGAATTGAAAATTGCTTTACTGGCGATGTATCACGAATAATGAACGATTTCAAATTATCTTTGAATTATTATTTTTTTTAGCTTCCGATTTGTAATCGATTAAGAATTTGATACATCCGATAAATTCTAATTTGTATTCTTTTTGATATTACGAACAATTAGAAATTTGAAAATTCTTCTTAGTAGTTTGGAAAAATCTCATCAAAAGGATGATGCAACAGGTTATGTGAATCAAGTGAACGTCTTTTTACGCTGCGAATGTCATTAATTAAAGTTATCTGTTATTCTGTTGATTCGAGTTGATTTTATTAGTTCATTTTTAAACATGATTTCATTATCAGTTTGGTTTGTTTCCGATTAACATAAATTAACGTGTTTTGAACTTATTTTTCATTTAGGTGAAGTACTTCATTGAGTATAATGTAAGTTGTGCATCGATCACTGGATTAAAAATAATGTATGTAACACGCTCATTCGTTTGAATCCCTAGTGGTTCTTTAATTCATCAAGTGTTAATCATCTAATTATATCTTAATAGGAAAGTTATCCATTTATTTTTCAAAATAGGTTCCAGAATTTATTAGTTCGTTAGAAAATATAATAAAAAATATTCATGACTAAACTTAAGTGACGTAGCGGATCAATTAAAGTTGCACAAAAGTAGTGCTCGGATTTGCATATGTCATTTTTAAACTATTTTTTAACTCGTTAAGATTTATTTAAATTGTATTATTATATTTTAATAAAAGAAACCATTTTTAATGGAAATATTCATCGATTCTTGTTTTTATACGTGAGTAAAAGTCAAGAAAAATAGCGTTCGCTTATTTGTCCAAAATAACACCAAAAATATCAAAAAATTTTTACTGAATGCAACGTTCGGCCTACATTACAGATCTTCAGGGCCACAAAGAACTTGACACATTGAGGCAAAAATATGACAGAAGAAATCAGAAAATTAATAAGTAATATTAGTAATAAAAGAGATAAAATGATTTTATTTTATTTTAAAATTTCAATATTAACAAATAGGTAATATGAAAGAAATATAAAGAAGACGTATCCATCTCTATATTTCTTGTCTTTTCATCCTGTCATTCTTTATACTGCTATAATATTTATTTAGTTTATTTGTTTGCCGTTTTTTTCTCCATTATTATTTTCGTTACTTATTAATTTTCCTTAAAATAAAGTTTCTATTGTTTCTTGTGTTATTTTTTAATATTACCTGTTCAATAAATCTAAATCGTTCAAATCTTTTAAATGTTCAAATTAAAAGATGTTTCATGATATTTGGAGGAATTTCTAATAGCTTAATCCTATATCATCAAAAAAAGTTCATCGATTCAACTTCTATGAGAAAGTGATATATATATATATATATATATATATATATATATATAATTGGATATATATATGTATATAATTGGATATATATATATATATCCAAAGAGAAAGTGAGAGAGATTTTTGAAATCGTGATATTAATTTTTTCCTTAATCTCCGTGTTTGGTGTTATAGCTTTTCCTTATTCTTAACTCAAATTAATCTCAGGGTCAGTTTCTTCAAGAGCAAATGTTTAATTCAAAATGAAATATTGCACCTGGTTTCATTGTTAAAATAAATATTTATCACTACATATTTTAAGTAAAGTTTTAAAAGTAAGTTTGAAAAAAAAAATTAGATAAGAAATCCATTTAGATGTCGGCCATTATATCTCTCCATTACTCTACTAGTGCACCAATAGAGTACTTGTAATATTTCAAAAGAAATAATTATAATTTTCTTTTTATATTTATAAAAACTTGTCAATTATTTTAATAAAGTTAACTGGTAGGCCCATTCAATCGGCTAAACGTAGCTAATATGTTGTATGTAAATAAAAATTTATTTTTGTTCTGTAGCCTAAAATGTTTATTAGTAGAAAATAGAAATCCATGATTCTGTGGTTTTTTATGGATGTTTTGCACGATTGGTATTTGCTCTTCTATGTTTTGTTCAACAAAAATAAGATAATAATTATGATATTTGTATTAATAAATATCGTCAGAGTATATCAATATGAAGATTGTCAAAACCAAAAATAAATTAATTGAAAAATATATTTAAGAGAACAAGTTGGGATCGACTTTATAGAAATAAATGACTCATATTTGGTTTAAAGTTCATGTTAATTTAAATTTTTTTAGAAAATTTTCAATATAGGATACGATATCATGAAGTTGTTTGTTTTTAAATAAGGCTACTGTATGATTTTAAAATAAATTAATATTTTTTTTAATCCACTTAAATAATTAATTAGTATCATATATATATATATATATATATATATATATATATATATATATATATATATATATATATAAATATGAATGGATTTGTTGAACTGGATTTCATAGTTAGTTTTATTCATCTGTATGATGTAATATTAACTTAATGACTATATTAAATATTTTATAAATGAGTTATTTAATGTAAGTCTCAAGAATGAATTCATTGTAAGGAGAGAGATATAGATATGTCTACTTTATACTTCTATAGTATTTCTCATTTATTTATTTTTTACTTATTTCATGTCTTACTAATTTGATAATGTATCCCTTTTCCAATTACTTCAGTCATTTTATTACCTCATTACGCCTTGTTCGTTGTCTTCCTGAAAATGGTCTACAATGAAGGCCATAAAACATTGGCTTTCAATAATATTACACTAATGCTATGAATTAACTAACTACGGTAGTTTGATTTCTTTTTTTATTTATTGACGTCCTGAATGCGTTTGGCACCAATAGTGTTACCACATCTTTGCTTTTATTTGAATTTTACTTTAATTCTGTTGAGTTGTATGGAAGGAAATAGGCTACTCTCTCACTAGCTTGATTTGCTTCTCGTCTCGATTCATAATTTGTGTGAAAATGTAATGAAGGAAGGTCAAATGACAATTGTTGAACAGTAGAAGTGGGGGAAACCGATTCCGTTTCCGACTCACCCGTTCGTAAGCTAGACCGACTCAGGAAAACAGGCGCCGGCACATGTAGGACAAGAGAATTTCTGCCCTTCCCCTAATGTTTTATAAGAGGAGTTAGAGTTTCGCTGGCTTTCCAATGTTTCACACTAACTACCTTAAAAAAACTCACAAGAGTTCAATAAACCATACAAGTAATAATTACAAAATAACTCACAAAGGTATTGAATAAACCAAACAAATAATTATTATCTTTATTATCCGAAAATTTCACGAAGTACCATTCTAATATTCACGGAGAACGGTCAAGTTCACTCATAAGCAATAGTTTCTCATTGTAGCTGTCTCCGTTTAATTCATTGAACAGATCCTCGCTCCAGTATTCCATTCACGTCCAGTTAGATTTTAGTGTGTCCTCACCGTAAACAGTGGATCTGTTACCGTCCCTGACCCCAAGTATTTCGGCGGGGAAGACACTGCCGAATTGGTTAGAAATGGACCGGTTATAGACCTGTTGTCTGCTGCTGTGTCTTGGAAACCTCAACTCGTTGTAACATGAGGTTGGATTATGAACTACAAGACTACACCATGCACCCAAAATTCTTCATAGTCTGTAACTTCAACAGAAAAATGACAGCAATTAAGTTTGCGTGAGTGTGTGTTGGATCTATGTAATATCACTGTTGTTTATGAAAGCTTGAGGATAAACCTTAGTAAAACCGACTCAAACTTTTAAATTCAATCAACTTCCAACCATATTTATTATCTACAGTCAATTTCTCCACCATTAAGAAGCTTAGTTAGGTAATGTTATTAATGCTACGGAGTAGGTTGTACTTTAATACTAATTTTTACTAAGTTTTGTATTCATGCAAGAAGAAGAATTTTTTTCCCTTTGAGTCCAAATTTTCCAATGGTTTTAGTAAAAAAAAAAAGAAAAAAAATCTGGACCACTACAATCCA